CGGGAGGCTTAGGCAGGAGAATCACTTGAACCCGGGAGGTGGAGGTGGCAGTGAGCCGAGATCAAGCCACTGCACTCCATCCTGGGAGACAGAGCAAGACTCCGTCTCAAAACAAACAAACAAATGAACATATTTATTAGGATTTCTTAACTTATCATTCAAAACCTTTAGCTTGTCTTTCATATACCAGAATCTTTAAATGTGATTTATTTTAGGTACTCTCATACGATTTACCAAATGTTTCTTCAGGTATGTTATGTCTGCCATTTAGCTTATGTATTTCACTTAAGTTTATTTATTTTTTAACTTTGGTGATTTTTTTCTTTTTATTTCAATGACTCTATTTTCATTCTCCAATATATTAGACCTTGCATTTTTATAATCCCCACTTGTTTTTGGTCATATTCACCTGTTTTTGTTTTATAATTTTCTGTTCTTAATTTATTCCTTTCTTTAACATTTTGAGGATTTACATTTTTACATTTTATTATATTTTAATAATGTACATATACTTCTTTGTATCCTTACCACCAATAAAATAGGTTTTATTGCTTTTATCTATATAGTGGGTGTAAAAAAACCGTATCACTTATAATTTGCATTTTCCTTAATACTGTTATCTTTGAGCATCTATTTATATATGTTCATTTTCCCATATAAGATTTTCTATTTATATATTTTGCCTATTTTCCTGTTTTTGTGCTCTTGTCAATTTCTAACAGTACTTTGACTATAGATCAGTGGTTCTCAAATTATGGTCTGTGAAACTCTGGGAGTCTCTGAGACACTTTCAAGGGATCAGTAAGGTGAAAACTAATTTAGTAATTATACTAAGATTTTATTTGCTATTTCTACTGTGTTGATATTTGCACTTATGGTAGGTAAATCACTGTCACCTATTTAGTAGAAAGCAAGGCAGTGGCCTTGAACTGTACTGGCAATTGAATAACTTCTTAGTTGAGACGCTGCTGAAAACAAAAGCCAGGTTAACAAGGAAGAAAGTGGCAGAAGTTTATGCATGTGCTGTACCTATCATGCTGGAGAGGCCTCAGTTCAAAAGTATCTCCTATTGGTACCTTAGGGGCCTTGCTTACGTAATATTTTAACAAACAGTCATAAATCCAATTTAGTGACAAAACAAAGGAGAGAGCAATTCCAGTCTTCTAAAAGGTTAGAAAATGTGGGATGATAGTAAAATCTGTTCCCAGATTCCTTTGGTGCCTGCTGGTGCTTTCTCTGGACAGATTAGCAAATGTTATCTCCAGTAAGGAAGGATTGGTGTCCTGCCATTGGGCAAATGGAGGCTAAGGCCTGAATGGTCCCCTCCATTTTCAGCGTCTTTAACCTTACAACCCTCAGTATTTGGGGGAGAAATACTTTGTTTTTCTTCAGTCCCCCTTTTACAGCTTTAGTTTTAGAAAGTTTTACATATTAAAGTCCAAGTTGGTAGCTTTGGGGAGATTTGGGTTAGAGGTTCTAATCTGGCAAAGGGGGAGAAATAGATTGAAACAAGTAGAAAGCAACAAATTGGGTTCCATGTCTTACCGAATGAGTCTCTTCGTCTTGAGAGTAATTAGCTTAGTTGAACAGATGAGCCTGATTTCAGGAGGTGGTGTTATAGGTGAATTTTTTTCAAATTTAGTCTCTATATGGTATAGGCACACTGGTATTTAGTTGGAAGCATTTTTATGGAAAACACAGAAAAACAAAAATTAATATCTGGAGCAGTCTGCAAACTAGTCTTTTGAGTTTGGAGGGCAGTCAGCTGAGAATATTTTAGATTTTGACTCAAAAAATTTCAGTTGGGATGGACAGGGAGTGGCAATTTGATAGATTTTCCCAGATTGTCATTTGATTCAGGGGTTCCACTGAACTTTCTGTACATACATAAGTTGTTGTAGTGATTTCTCCAAAGTTTATATCAGGTTGTCTAGCATTAACTTGCAGGACTTTAGGAAAAGCAGTTTTGATGTCTAGGGATTTAGAGTCAGATGAGTGAGTGGGAGAAATATTGGAAATTTTAGTCTGGAGAGTCATAGTCAGATATTGGAAGAAACTAAAAATTCAAGATTCAGCCTAGATAATTTTTTAAAAACCCTCAAAAGCAAATGGACAAAGCTAGAATCTAATAACGAGAGCACTATAGTTTTTAAATTTTTCTTGAAACATAATTTTTCTCTCTCTGGTCACCTATTTCTACCAAAGATCACAGTGAGTCCAGTTTTGTTGTAAAATAAGTTTTAGCCTCATTATGGTTGGCTTGATTAGTTATATAAACTGTAGCAAGGCCGGATGCAGTGGCTTACACCTGTAATCCCAGCACTTTGTGAGGCCGAGGCAGGTGGATCACTTGAAGTCAGGAGTTCAAGACCAGACTAGCCAACATGGTGAAACCCCATCTCTACTAAAAATACAAAAATTAGCCGGGCATGGTGGTGCACGCCTGTAATCCCAGCTACTTGGGCAGCTGCGGTGGGAGTATCGCTTGAACTTGGGAGGCAGAGGCTGCAGTGAGCAGAGATTGCGCTGCTGCACCCTAGCCTGGGCGACAGAGCGAAACTCCATTTCTAAATAAATAAATAAACTGTAGAAAAAATAATGATTGACCTTATTATAGGCTCTTTTAAAGTTGGCTTTGCTGGAACTTGTCATAAGGAAAAGACTTTTAAAATACTCTCCAGGTTAGGAAGTCAAGCCATGGACTCACCCTCAGATTTTACCTATAGTACTTGAGTGAATTCTTTTCTTGAAGTCCCCAAAGTATTTAGAGTATTCTGCACTTCTCAGAAACTGATATTTTTTTACCTACCACAAGGCTAGTAACCCTGTAAAGGAACCATGTAGACAGCGTACTTGGCCAGTTTTTCCAAGGGATTAATTGGATCCTAGTTAACCCTTAGTTCCTTAAAGCAGCCTGGTCATACCTGAAAATGTGACATCCCAATCAAAGCCTTTGTAATATGTGTTTTTAACTGTGTCTTATTATGAAAGGAAACAGATTCTTATTAATGTTATGCAAATAACTATATTGCCATAAAATAAAAATATTTATGGTTAGTTTCTCAATTCAGAAGAAATCAGAGAGAAAGGTAAATGTTTTGATTTTGCTTACAAAAATATACTTTACCCAATTCCTGCAAACTATAAGTAGCTTTAAAAAAAAAAAAAAAAGCTTTCTCGACTCTGGAAAAAGAAACAAAAAATAATTAGCAATGTTTTCAACAAAAAGTCATTAAAAATCATTTTAGTCCTGCATCAGTTCAGTCCCACATAATTCTTTTTCTGCTTGATGTTAGATTAGCAATTTTATGAGTCCAGTTTTTAAAATGGGAGTTATTCAAATTCTTAACCAGTCTAATCATGTTATCTCAGTGATGTCGGAAAACTGTACTTAAGTGTATTTAAAGTCTATTCCATGAATCTTCTTGAAGACACTTTAGGATTTGCAGAGAGCTTTTGAAGAAAAAACAAAAGCAACAGAATAAAGCAGTAACACATCCAGAATGTTTATTAGGGACCAGTTCTGCAGGCACTTTTGCCTAGCAACTCCAACAATCTCAGACTCCCAGAAGGCAGAAAGATGTTCAGTGCATCAGGTGCTTAAAAAGACAGTTTTATCGTGAAGAAAAGGATTCCTGTCTTGTGGAGGGAAGTGTTTACTAGCCAAGGGCTAATCCTGCAAGCAGCCTCCCACCTGCAGCGTTAACTCTTTTATGCACATAAGCTGATCCTGAATTGTTGCTGGTTTGTGTGTACTTCTGCTGGATGCTCAGAAGAGTATACTTTTGATACAGTGTTTCAGAGAATTTGGGGGATATTTTGACTTAAATTCAGACTTAGTTCTATTTCAGGAAATACCTTCATATGGGTCAGATTTCTGGAGAGAAAAAGTTTTCTTTCTTTGTCCCCAGTCATACTGTGACTCACTACAGTTTCCAGCTCTAACCCTTCAGGTTCAGTTATTCTATGTGATATTTGTATATATTACATATCTTTGATATTATAAGTCATGATGTATGTATGTATATATGATAAATGTGTACCTACGCTGATGGATGAATCAGTACAAAAAGCATGTTAGAATTCCTGTTCAGAAATGAAACCTATAGAGGTTTCCTTAGCAATTAGAAGCTGTCTGGTCTCTACTCTGAATACAAAGATGGACGGTAGCTAACTATGTGTACTTAATTTTAGCTTAAATGTGTAGGTAGGAAAGTAAACAATGACTGGGTGCACTTCAGTGTATACAGGAAGCTTTTCCTGAGCATAATCCAGGAACAGGCAGGGAAGTCTCCCTTGTTTGACAGAAGTAGCAACAGAGCAACTTCCTGTTTTGGAAGTTGAACTTTTCTGACTTTTGGTATTGTAGTGAATTTCTTTTCATTTTTATTTTTCTTGTGTCATTTCAGTGAGAATTTGGGATGGTTAAAATATATATGTGTGTGTGTGTGTGTGTGTGTGTTCTCAGTTCCAGCTGTTGTACTCAACTCAATAAAACTAATTGTGTATCTATTAGAAACATATTTTTGAATATTATTCATAATTATATGAATTTAATTTCTTCCAAGATAAATATTTAACTTAGAGAAGTGCTATACCTGAGTTTGAGCAGCATAGTGTTGAGGTTAATAGAATAGGCTCTGGGACCAGGCTCCGTAAGTTACAATCTTAGTTTTGAAAGCATAGGCATTGGACATGTGACATAATCCCTGCCTCCCTCAATTTCTTTATGACAGATAGAAAATCTTAATGATGCTGACAGATTCAAATGAGTCACTATTTGTAAAGTGTCAATCATAGTATTTGGTACTTAGATAAGTGTTGGTACTTAGATAAGTGTTGGTACAAGATAAGTGTTGGTGAACTAAAAATAAATATAATTGTATCTAAAAACATGTGCCAAGAATTTATACCAAGTAATCATATTTCTTAAATAGTTACAATATGTTTGAATTATTTAAGTAACCATTTTTTGTCTTTCTCTTCTTAATTTTTTACAGCTTATCGTGAGCCTCATTATTATTATCAGTTCACAGCTCGATATCATGCAGCTCCCTGCAACAGTATTTATAATATTTCTTTTGAGAAGAAACTTATTCAGATTTTAAGCAAACTGCTTCTTGACCTTTCATGTGAAATTTCCTTACTTAAGTCTGAATGCCATCATATTAAAATGCAAAGAGCTGGTTTGCAAAATGAATTGTTCTTTACATTTTCAGGTAAGTCTATACAATTTATTAGAAAAGCAAATGGAGAACACATAACTAAGAGTTAAAAAATGTTGTTAATTACGCACAGCATTTTTACAATATAAACACTATACATCTGAATATATTTTGTTCTCTACTTTGACTTAGTGCTATTAACCCCTCAAATAGAATTCTACTGATTCATATACTAATGAAAAGTTTGCTCTCTCAATAACACTGTTATGATAATTTACTGTAGAGTGGAATTTAGTGTAAGGAAAGTCATGCTACTTAGGTTTAATGATTTAATTTGTAAAATCATCTTATTATAAGATGGGTTAATATCATAGACCAGAGGAAACATTCAGCTTAGTATGCTTTTCTTAATAATGTGGAGTAGAGGCCCAGTATTTTCTGGAAAACAAAGAATTGGACTTTATACTTATACCTTTATATTTATCTTTATATTTATAATGGTTTATGAATGACCATTTAGGAATACCCACCCATGTGTTTTTAAAAGGTCCCAGTGACAGTAGGGCACCCCTCCCCTTTCATCACAAATGTTATTGCTTGCTAGTTTCCTTCCTCCTTTTTTAGTTTTTTTTTTTTTTTTTTTAAATCATTATTTATCTGCTATCAGAGTTGGATTGTATTTAACCATTTCCCCAACTTTCCCTTCTGTTTCTTTTTTGGCCATCTAGGATTGAAGTTTTAGAAACACAGTTGAGAGGCATGAAGCTTTAAGGGGAAAAACCAAGAGAAGTTCAGCCTCATTTTCTGTCTTTTATCTCCTTACTTTTCTCCTGTCTTCCCTTCTCTTCTCCTCTCTTTCCTTCTCCTCAGCCCTCCCCTCCCCTCACTACTCCTTTTCCCTTCCCTGCCCTCCCCTCTCTCTCCTCTTCTCCAGAAATACATTGAGAGTTTTTCTCCAGCCCCTGAGTCTGTCTAATAGGTAGATCAGTTCTTAGAAAACCTGAAAGTGTGGCTCTCTTCAGGTTCAGCACTTTGGGAGGCTGAGGCAGGTGGATCACTTGAGGTCAGGAGTTTGGGACCAGCCTGGCCAACACGGGGAAACTTGCCTCTACTAAAAATACAAAAATCAGCCGGGCATGGTGGCGTGGGCCTGTAGTCTCAGTGACTTGGGAGGCTGAGGCAGGAGAATCACTTGAACCCAGGAAGCTGAGGTTGCAGTAAGCCGAGATCATGCCACTGCACTGCAGCCTGGCTGACAGAGTGAGACTGTTTAGAAAAAAAAAAAAAAAAAAGCTGAAAGTGTACTGGAACTCATAAAAGAGATGATATCCAATAGAAATGAAGCATTATGAGACTTGATTTGCATTTCTCCAAAGGCAAATGTTGTTGAGCATCTTTTCATGTGCTTATCGGTCAGTTGTGTATCTTCTTTGGAGAAATGTTTATTCAAGTCCTTTGCTCAATTTAAAATTGGATTTGTGTCTTTTTGGTGGTGTTGTAAGAGTTCTTTATATATTCTGAATACTGTATTCTTATTAATATGTGATATGCAAATATTTCTTCCATTTTATAGGTTGTTTTTTCACTTTCTTAATAATGTCCTTTGATACCCAATTGATTTTAATTTTGATGATGTCCAATTTACCTGTTTTTTCCTTGTGTTTCTTGTACTTTGGGTGGCGTTTCTAAGAATATGTTGTCAAATCTGAGGTCATCAAGATTTACTCCTTCTGTAGTTTTAGCTATTACACTTCGGTCTAAGATTCATTTTGAGCTAATTGTGTATATAGTATGAGGTATGGGTTCAGCCTTATACTTCATATTTTGCATATGGCTATCTGGTTGCCCAAGAACATTTGTTGGAAGAGACCATTTTTTTCCACATTGAATCGTCTTGGCAACCTTGTTGAAAGTCAGTTAACCATAAATATATGAGCTTATCTCTAGACTCTCAATTCTATTGCATTGTTCTGTATTTCTGTTCTTATGTCAGTATACCATTTTGATTACTGTTTGATTTGTGGCACTTTGGAAATTGAGAAGTGAGAGTCCTCCAATTTTGTTCTTCCTTTTTAACACTGTTTTGGTAATTTGAGATTGTTTTTAATTCCATATGATTTTTAGCATCTCCTTCTCCATTTCTGACAAAAATCACCATTGGAGTTTTGATAGGGATTGCATTGGATCTGGACATAGCTTTAGATATTATTGCCACCTTAACAATATTAAGTCTTTTAATCTGTGAACACAGGTAGCTTTGCATTTATTTAGAACTTGTTTAATTTCTTTCAGTAGCATTTTACAGTTTTCCTATATAAGTATAGTGCTGTAACTCTTGACAAATGTATTTCTAAGTATTTTATTATTACTGATGCTATTATAAGTAGAATTTTCTTAATTCCCTTTATACTTTGTTCGTTGCTAGTGTATAGAAATACACTAGGTTTTTTAAAAAATGGATTCTGCATCCTTGATTGAATTCCATTGTTAGCTCTAATAGTGTTTTTGGTTTTGTTTTGTTTTTGTGAAATCTTTAGTAGTTTTTGTATAGAAGATCATGTTGTCTGTGGATAGCAATAGTTTTACTTCTCCGTTTCCACCCTGGATACATTTTACACCATTTTCTTGCAAAATTGCTCTTGCTTGAACTTCTAGCACAATGTTTAGTAGAAGTGGCAAAATTGGCATCTTTGTCTTGTTCTTGATCTTAGGAGGAAAGCTTTCAGTCTTTCACTGTTGAGTATGATATTTGCTGTGGGTTTATAATGAAAGGATTTTGTATTTTGTTAAATACTACTTTTGTATGAAATGAGATTATCATGTGTTTTTTTATTTTCACCCTGCCTTCTATTAATGCAGTGTACTCTATTTTTATTGTTATATTTTCAACAACCTTTGCATTCCTGGATTATACCCTACTTGGTCATGCTGTATTCTTTACCATACTACTGGAATTGGTTTGCTATTTTTTTTATTAAGAATTTTGCATTCATAATGGATATTGGCCTGTAATCATATAATTTTCTGGCATTGGTGCCAGGGTAATGCTAGCTTCATGATATGAGTTAGGAAATGTTACTTCCTCTTCTATCCTTTTGGAAAAAAGTGAGATGAATTTTATTTAATTCTTCTTTACCTGATAGAATTCATTACTGAAGCTTTTGGATTCTGGGTTTTTCTTTGTTGGCAGGTTTTTGATTACTGATTCAAACTCTTACTTAGTTATAGACCTATTCATATTTTCTGTTTATTCTTGAGTCAGTTTTGGTAGTTTGTGTGTTTCTAGCAATTTATTTCATTAGGTTACCTAATTTATTGGCCTACAATGGTTTATAGTGTTCTCTTGTTATCCTTTTTATTTCTGAAAGGTAGGTAGTAATGTCTCTACTTTGATTTCTCTATGTGAATGTTTGTCAACTTTATTGCATTTTTTCCAAAAACTATTTTTTTATTGCTTTTTCTCTTCTCTAGTTTATATATTTTCTACTCTTTATTATTTCCTTCTTTGTGCTAGCTCTGAGTTTAATTCATTCTTCTTTTTCTAGTTTCTTAAGGTGTGACATTAAGTAATTGATTTGAAATCTTTCTTCTTGTTAAGTATAGGTGTTTACTTACACCCATACATTTCCTTCTGAGTACTGCTTTAACTGCAAGCCATACTTTTTGGTAAGTTGTATTTTCATTTTCATTCATCTGCAAGTATTTTCTAACTTCCCTTATACTTTTTTTTGACCTGTTTGTTATTTAGAAGTATGGTGTTCAATTTCCACATGTTCGTATACATTCTAGATGTCCTTCTGTTAAGGCTTTCTGATTTATTTCTTTTGTGGGATAGAAGTCTAGTCCAAATGACCACCAGGATGGCTAAATAGTAGAAAGAAGAGATTTATTGTGACATCAACTTGCAGTTTGGGAAGATACGATCTTTGGTGTGGACTGAAGGCACTCTCTCTTCCAAAGGGAAAGGGTCTGTATTAACAATAGGGTCTTATGTATTCAGCTTGTTTTGGGTAAAGCTATAAATATTTATGAGGGGGGTTGAACACATGTACAATGGGTAGACATATATGTAACTTACGTTCTATGTTCACTTTGGGGTGGGTTTTAGCATTAAAACGAGGTAGAATTTGGCTCTGTCTATTGAAAGGCTGACTATAAAACACAAAGAATTGTTCAGTCTCTATTAGCTTGCTGAAACTGGCTTAAGGCCTGCAGTTGCCTTTCAGGAAGGAGTTCTTGTAAGGCAGATTCTCTGTCCAGTCAGAATTTTAGTGGTCTCGGTTGTAAATCAGTTAGGAAGGGAATCTGGCAATTTGTCTGATAGCTCCTGTTAAAGGGTTTAGCAAGGTGTGTTTGCATGCGTGTGTGTGTGTGTGTGTGTGTGTGTGTGTGTGTTTTGTAGCCATAGAAATTTAGGGAATTGACATGCCAGCTGAGCCCTGAACCTTTAGCTCATAGCTAATTTTTGTTTCCTTAACCTTGGGGTCCATCTTAGTTGATAAAGGGGCATCTATTTTTGTTTCTCAGATTACAGAAGCTACTTTATATCATTTTCATCTTCTTATACTTACTAGACTCTTTTGTGGTTACACATATGGTCTACCTGGAGGAATGTTTCATATGTACTTGTGAAGTATGTGTATTCTTCTGTTGTTGGGTGGAGGGTTCTGTGTATATCGTATAGATCTAGTGTTGTTCAAGTACTCTATCTGCTTATTGATCTTCTGCCTAACTTTTATATTCATTATTGAAGGTGCGGTATTGATGTGTTCCACTATTATTATCTGCTTTTCCCTTCTGTTCTGTCAATTTTTGCTTCATACAATTTGGGACTCTGCTGTTAGAGGCCTATATACTTATAAATGTTATATGTTCTTTAATATATTGGCCCTTTTATCAAAATATAGTGCATTTCTTTGCATCTTGTAACAATTTTTGACTTAAAGTTTATTTTATCTGATGTTTGTATATAGATCTGTTTATATTTTTTGTTTCTTCTTGAGTTTTGATAGTAGTGTGTTTCCAGCAATTTGTCTATTTTATCTAGATTTGAT